ATGATGAGTATGTAATGCGAAGACATACTTCTGTAAGTTCCTCAGTTCAGTGGTTTGTGCCTTGGTTTCATAATTCATACTCACCAAGCGTCCCAGGTTCGATTCTTGGAGGAGCTGTTCTTTTTTTTCTTCCCTTTCAAAGTAGACGGTTTTACTTGCATAGTTTTACCTGGACGGTTTTTCTAAAAGTTTTAAAACCGTCAAAGCAAAACTGTCATATTGGAACCATAGGAAACAAAAGCACGAACAACTAAAACCGAGAAAAAAACCGTGCCAAACTGACTGCGAGAAACCGCGTATAAAAACCGTCATGAGTTTCACGGTTTTTTTTCTCCGTGTATACATTTATATTTGACTTGACATCCGCAGTTGTGATGAAGTGACGAACTAAACTCTACTTATCTAGTAAAACTCTTTCAGCAGAGAAAAAATCGTGTAGCTATTTGATCCATCCCAGCTAGTTTAATTAACTCGATCAAATAGTTAGCTTAAGCTAGTTACATGATTTATTCTTTTTGCTTCTTGAAATTTCTTGATCAAGATCTTTACACAGAATTTTCTAGAACAGCAAGTTCACATACATCAACGAATCTCATCAAGATCTTAATCAAGATTTACCACGGATCCGAGCGTGACGTATCTTCAAAATTCTGTATCAAGATTTTGAAAAGATTCAGAAACTTTCTGAACTCATTAATGTAATTATTAATTAGAAAAATTAGTTCCATATTTGGACAAGGTAGGTGGAAGAACGATCACTACAAGAATTTCACACATATTAATATTCTTCGTGGTACTACATTATAGAGGATCTGGTCTTGAATTCTATTGGTCTACTAGATGCATAAGCGAATAAATTATACTTGTTGTCTCTACCACCGTTTTTGTTTTGCAGTGTCCATATATATATATGGAGCTGCTATATATACATATAATCTGCACAGTAAAAAAGTTGAACAATCTGCAAGTTCGTTACCTTCGACTGAACAGCTTCGGTGTTGTCGGAACGGTAACGTAAGAGCTCTGCATTTCGGCGTACTGTTGATACACTACAGTATACTAAAGAGTGCGTTATAGTAGAATACAGTAGAAAACTGAACAGTCACTCAAGTCTGTACCACATATTTTTCTATCTTAAACTTTTCTAGCGCTTTCTTTATCTTCTGTTCCAACTAGTATATATTATCATCTCTCTTCTAAATTCGAGAGTCATATTAGCCTGATGATGATACTGTGAAGTATTAAAAGCGCGCTTTTTACGTATGAATGATTTTATGAAAAGTTTTTTAATTATATTAAATATATTTGGAGAAGTGTAAGTTTATTTCAATAGAATCAGATACGGTGAGATTTTGGGTATGTCTTTTTTAGAGTAATACTCAGACACAAAATTTTACATATAAAAGACATTTCAGGTCTGAACTACCCATTCGCGAAAAAAACGATGCTCTACGACGCATCAGATACTACCCATTTTAAGATTCTGAACTGCCTTTTTTCAGTGCATTGAAGAGTTTATCAATCATTTAGAATATAATCAATCCATTTCGGCAGTGAGACGAAAAATCAAAAGAAAAAGTACAGAAGTATCTTTCGATAGCCGATCGGCAGTATTATGTACTGAAAGCGAGCGCGAACTGGCGGCATAATCAAACGCATTCGAAAAAGAAATTTTTCGTTGGAAATGTGTGTGAGACGAATCAAAATGGTAAAAAAATTTAATCAAAAATTTAAGCTGATCGAGGTTGTTTGATTCTTTTCAAGTCTAGGTTATAAGGGAACAGAATTAAAATATTAATAAAGTCTAAGGAAAATTCAAGAAAGAGTTTTGTTGTTAACCAATACTCCAGTGTTTGAAAAGTTTAAAACTTCTTTAAAACTAATCGAGTAGTTATAAAAATACCTCGACATTTGTAACTTGATATGCTCTATAAAATGGCTGATGTGGAAATTCCATATTCGATAGAAAAATTTCATGCTCTAGTTTTCTAGAAACCTCACTGGGTTTTCCAGAGGATTTTATTTGCTATTTTCTTAGACCTTGATTATTAGGTTTTGAAATATTTTTCGGCCTGATACCACTTGCCTCCACGTGACTGAGAATTTAGTGCAATAAAAAATTTTCTGGTCAGAATCAGCGTTTCAGATGGTATGAGGTTAAGACGAGGGGGGTTTATTCTTATTTTGTTTTATAGTATGAGAGTTCTGTCAATATAATAAAATAAATAACACCTACTCAATATAAAAATTCCACTATAATATCATCAATGCAACTGTTAATTTTTTTTTTTTATCAGAGCATTTTTAATAAATTAGCATGACTCTTGCATGAATACTGTTTTTTTGTTCATCTACGAAAAATCTGTCAAGCGTAGGGCTGGCAAAATTATTGGAATACCTGACCCATCCAACTGTCAACAAGATATTCACAATACATCTGAAGTGTATAAATCTATTTTTGACCTTATTTTGCGATCTGTCACGATTGTCTGTTCAGAAATACAGACACAACATCAGTATCTGTAATAATAGAGACAGAAAAACAACATCAACTATAAACTTTGCTTAAACTTAAACTCACTCAATACCTGGTAGAAAAGTACATTCGCTCATAGACACCATTTTTGAAACTGCACTCCGAAAAAAATAGCTAACATCTGCTAGATAGTCAACAAAAAAGAAAGAACATTAAGAATTCTCACGGGAAAAATATTCTACATGCATTAAATATTTCTCACACTACTTTATTTAGAAAAAATGAATTTTCTAAGCACCGAAACAAAATTTCGAAAAAGGATAAGTATATTTGTTCTACGCTTCAAGGCGAATCGAAAGGCGTCAAATTCAATGTCCCATCTTTTAAGGAAAAAACGAAGATAAGTTTGCGAGTGCGAGTCAGAAAAATTGACGTCTTTCAACTTTGCGCAGTCTTGGAATACTTCTATTCGTACCGAAACCTTGGAATATGGTTTCCTGTATGCAGCTTTCGACGCTGAACAAGAAGAGCACTTTTTCAGGGTTCCAGAATCAGACAACAGTGTTTCAAAAATTATAGATTATTCGAAAAAACGGCGAATTTCAGTTTCCTGATTTTTTTCACGGAAAACGCGCACTAGAAAGGCTAAAAACTAGATATTCGTGATCAACATTAAATTCTGCACCGAATGATGTATGTTTGAGCTACAAGAAAAAATAGTGCTGCAACCTTGAAGTGCCTTATAAAATTTTTATTTTCGTAATTCTGTCCTTCAAGAAAAATAACGTAAAGCACACATATACGAGCGCATAAGAAAAATATATGAGACGGAAGACAAATAAGATCAAAGAAAAGTAAACGAAGTGTGTTTGATGTAGGGGTGGCACTTTCTCTTTCATACCTTCTTTTTTTATTAACAAAAGAAAAGTTTTTTTTCTTTACAACAAAAAAGAGTAAAGATACAGTATAAAATTGAAGAAATATTCAAGAGGCAGATAAGCTGAAAATCATTTCGATAGAAAAGTTCTGATAGATGTTATGATTTAATTTTATTCTGTACACATATATATGTGAGTGTGTAATTACATATCTCTCTCTCTCTCTCTCTCATGCTTTTCTTTCTTTTTTTTATTCTTCATCTGCTGACATAAACCAAAAAGTGAACTGCTTCACACTGTACTTCTCCTGACGAACTAGTCCAGTGCGGACTACTTCACAGATAGCATAATACTCGTGCAGTACTTGATTTTTCAAAGTGTGATGAAAGTTAGTACTAGACTTAAACGATGTTTTCTTGCCGTTATAACTCTTTATTTCCGCCGTTTGCACGATGCAACTTGTGATGACAGTACTGTACAACCTACCTAAAAAAACTGGACAATTTCATCACAATCGAAAACGAACATTCGGCACAAAAGAACTGCTTGTATTTGGACTATTCCAATCTGGACTGCTACAGTGGGGACTACTTCAGACCGAACTACTCCCAGACGCAACAGATGCTTGATTTTGATACTTTGACTTTAGAAAAAGACTTCAAAAAGGTTTTTTACGCGTTTCGCTAAGAAAATGCAATGTTTGTAAAGAAAAAAGCAAGAAGTTGTTACTCCAGTTTGCACTGCTATAGTTTGCATTACTGCAGTTTGGACTACTCCAGTTTACGCTACAACACTTTGGACTAATGAACTTTGCACTAAAACCTTGATTTCATCGCAGCCGTCTCATGTTACTTGTGACGAAAGTACTGTGCCGTCTACCTAAAAAACCGGACACTTTCGTCACAAACGGGATTAACTTTCGTAACCACTATGTAAACATGGTTAAGCTTTCGTTACATGCCGGTCTTCACACTATGAATTTTTGTCACTGGAAAACAAAACTTTCGTCATGTGATGAAAGTTCACCGTTACGTGATGAAGAAAGTTATGGTGACGAAAGTGCTGTGAAACATACTTTCTAATTTTCTGTTTTTTTATCAAATCGCCGTAAATCATAAACTATTTTTCAGTGAGAAACAATGATTTCTACCATTGAAGTGAATGCATCAGAAAAGACTGAGACTGAAGACGAAGGATATCAGTTACAAGAATTAAATAACCAATTCGCCAATGTCGTAGACCTTTCTAAATCCTATGCAGCGCAAAATCATAAATTACAAGCAGAATTATTGGTAAAATGGCATAGTAAGTACGTTTAGACATAACGATCGGTTTTCAGTAAAAACCGTAAGAGAATTTGCGCTAGCAAAAATTTCAATAAAAAGGTCTCAGGGTTACAGTCCGTAGAGATTAATCTTAAATGCATATGACTAGAGAATGTGAAAAGCTTGCTAGTAGAAGCTGGAGTGAATAATAGCTTAAGCTGCGTGTCTGAACTTACTCCAAGTATATTTTTAATTATTATAGCCACTTTTCTGGTTACAGGCCCGTACGACACAGACGAAATAGAAAAACCGTATGTTGAAAGTTTAGCATTGCTTCGAAAGCAGCTAAATGACGTAACAAGAGACAAAATACTAGCTGAACTACGAATCAAACGTGCTGAATATGAAGCTAATATCAATCAACATTTTATTGAATTTGAACGCGATTTACTCTCACGTGCGCATGTTGAGGAAAAATCACACAGCAAACCAAAGTCGCCTGATGTAGTTCAGCAGTATACGCGTATAATAAGTGAAATAATGCAATCTAGAAGAGACATAATTCTATTACATAAAGAAAGAAATCTTTTACTAGATGAATTGGATAATGCAATAATGTTACGGATTATCGCTGAAATTGGAGTTCGGTAAGTTAGCTAACTCATGTCTAAAATGCCAGATGCTCTGTTTCCAGCGAATTCTCTAGTAGCTTTCAAAAATCAATTCAACTATCAGAGAGCTCATTAGATCAATCAAAGGTGGCCCGAAGAGCTCGAAACTTGAAAATTTTCTTTTGTGCATTGACACAAAAAAGCAGATTGTTATCGTATTCCGATGGTCTATTACGGAAAATTTTTTTGAAAAAACTGAAAATTTTGGAGGAATACAGGCAAATGCGCTACGATTTCGTGTATTTTTCACTTTTGGACTGGGTAATTCAATTTTTCTTCTTATGGCCAAAACTATACCGGTAAAGAACTTTCTTTCACCCGGATGGGCCTTACCAGACTAGGTTTATGTTAGGCATGTTCAAAAGAAAACTTTATTAGTAATATATTTTTATTTTTTATTTAGAAGTATGGAAGAAGAAATCGGGTTTCTGTCGGTGAGTATTTCTGACACCTAATTCCCTGCGACAGCATTGAACATGTTTTAGGCTGTCTGGGACATTGAAAGACAGGACATAATAACATCAATAAACATGAGAATATCAACCGCTGCACAGTGTGTAAAATTAATTAGTAGTAGAGTGCCAAAGGTAATGAAAATGGTCGTATCCGACATAAAGTCTAGTATCCAAGTCATCTCGGAAAGGTTTTACCGGTCAACGGATGAACTCTATAAAAAGATAACCGAATGCTCAGAAGAAAATCATGTGTCACCGAAAGCTATTGACTTTCGTAACAAGGGAGCACATCAAGACAGTAAGGCGCAGTCGAGAGATACTGATCAGGTAGTATATTTAGAAAAAAGAAACTGTGATTTGGCAGCAAGAGTTGAACAGTTGGAAAATGAGTTAGGTAGGTTTCAATATTACCGACAACTATAAAACTAATTAATCCAGCCGCTTATGTATTGTAGCTAATATACGAAAAGAGAATGCGTCTCAAACAGTATCTCATGACACGGATGTAGAAGCACAGATGTTGTCTATCAATGACCTACTTATGAACATATCTGCAGCATTAAGTCAGAAGGCTTCAACTACATTCGAATTAATTATTTACAAGTCGTTAAGTAAAGCCACACTAAACAGTGACATAATGTTTACAGTGAAAAATATGAAATGTGGGATAGACTCTCTGGGGGATACTTCTGTAGAGGAAGACAAACAAGAGATTGAAAGCAATTCAAACCAGCAGGAGATGAGTAGTACTCCACAAGTGGAAGAATCAGCTGTATATAATGCCAAGCCAAGTAAGAAATCGACATCAGTGGGTGTGATGGAGCGTCGATCGATTCCCAATTTTCTAGCAATTTTCAGCTGCCTTGCAATGCGCATTAGAGTTCCCAATGAATTTTTTGATACTCAAAAATTTATTTTAACGCATAAAAACCGACATTCCGGGCATCTGATACGTTTGAACGAATTAAATGAATAAAAAATAATTTTAATGATTCACATGCCTTAAAAGTTAACATAGTTAAATCTTTTAATTTTACTAACGCATTTTTAAAAATTCAACGCCTTCAAATGCATTAATAATGAACACATTTAAACTTCTTACAATTTTTCATGCGCTCAAACGCCAATATTATATGCGAACATGAATGCATTAAAATTTGTTAGAATTGAACGCGTTTTCGTGAATGAAATAATTTTCATGTCCTTTAATGTATGAAAGGCTTTTAACGTACTTAAACATGTGAAAACTGCTTGATTCATGTAAATCCCACAACTTCTAACGAATTGAAACGTAGTCAGAAATTACAATGCGTTCACAGATCTTGAGCAGTTTAAATGCACACAGACTCGTCAAAAGGCGACTATAAATTTCAGGGTGATCTTTTACTGCAGAACGCAATATATGTAGGTTTGTAGAAGACTTCCCCTGTCTAATGGCGTATATATCATCAAGTTCTGTTGCTCACCGTGAGAGAAAATTAAATTAGAAAATCATAGATTTTGCATTTTTTAAGGGATGAGGGTGAGGAGAACCCTCCTTAAAAAATGTAAAATCTATGATTTTCTAATTTAGTTTTCTCTCACGGTGAGCAACAGAACTTGATGATATATACGCCATTAGACAGGGGAAGTCTTCTACAAACCTACATATATTGCGTTCTGTAGTCAAAACCTTATAGTCGCCTTTCTTGCATTTACAAAAATTCACAAAAAATTTAAATAAGTGAAAATGCATTAAAAGGCTTAATATATTCGAACCCTTGAAATCTAATGTCTTTAAATGCATTTGAACATACTAAATCTTGTCAACTCCTTAAAAGTTTTCAAGATTTGTGAATGCCTTGAAATTCGATGTATTCGCGTGAATTAAGAATTTTACGTACGTTGAAAGAGTTTTAACGCGTTGAAGAGCATTGAGTTTATCAGACGTTACAAGTCAGAAATATTTAAACGCGTTAAAATCGGTATTGATTAATTTAATTTTAACGCAAGAAATGCCTTTAAAAATTTAATATGAGACTATAACGCGTCAAAGTATCCATTTTAATTCGTTTTAACGCATCACGGACTTTTCAATAGATGCAAACTTTTTCGTTTACTTTTGGCATACTAAATTTAACGCATGTCAACGCATTAGAATTTTTTTTTTAAGTCAGTTAACACATGTGAGATTATTAATATTTAATGCTGTTAAATGCGTTAAAAGTAGCTAACGCGTACGAAGGAAATTTTTGGTATCAAAAAATATCATTGGGTTTCTTATAGCTTTAATAAAAGTCAGGTAACCACAAGACCGTGTTGCATTAACAAGTATTTTCGCCCAAGAATCATATAGTTAAAATCATTATCAGGTGTTGAACACGGATCAGTTTTTGGAAAAAATTTTTATTAGGAAAACCATGAGAAACTACATCAGTCATCTCACTATTTCGTGCTTAGCACAAGTAATACATTCATTTGGATTCAGTTTTTTATTTTGACTCGTCCTAAATTACATCCGCTTTTTCGCTTTTGAGAATATATTCGGATAGAGCGTAAAAACCTACATCGGCCCATAGACATAAAACTTACCGTAAGAAGGCTTAATTAGAACGTAAAAAGCGTACATAGAAACAAAATTAACTGTTTTCAGACGAGTCTTTCAATTTATAACCGAATGAAGTAAAAAAACTGCACTTTTCAAGCATTCATTCTACATGACCCAGAAAGAGCACTAATTATTATATGACAAAAAAGGTTTTTACTTGTTTCAAATCTCTTGCATTTAGTCATGTGACTATCAAAACTTCACACAGGATCAAAATTACACATCTCATCACGATCTTTTTTTCGTCCCATTGATATTTTTTAAGCATAGTAAAATGACACTTCTGATCAAGGGCGTCAATTGCATCTATTAACTTTTGTAAAAATTCAGAAAGTTTTGGAAAAACAACGAAAGTGACTTTTCCAAAACTGAGTCAGACGTTTCTCTCGAGAAACTGTTCTCTCCATATAATAATTTTTGAAGATATTGTTGCATAAAAGTTAAACTTAACACTCCTTGTCTTTTCAGCATGATCACTCTTTATAAAAAATTTAAGAAAAGAGTCTCACAAGGCAAGAAGGCGACTCTCTCTGGAGTACCTGGCTTTTTTAAACTCGTTTCAGTTACTGTTCAGTCGACTAAGTCCCATTTTTTTCTCTTTTGAGAGTTTTGTCTTTCTACCTTTTCACCATTTCAGAAGAGCTGTCAGCGCCGTGCATTGATTGGGATGTCAACAAAGTTTGTACATGGCTACGAAATCATCTTACTTATGAACCACCTGTTGAAATATTTCAAACCTATGACGTTGGCGGACGAATACTTTTAAATCTGACAGATGAGACCCTACGACAAATGGGTGTTACATCTAATCTTGTTAGAAAACAACTTCTCACCCTGATTAAATCACTGCAATATGGAAATGGAACATTATTGAACCAAAATCCGTATTATGATCAGTTTAATGGAGATTTTACACCACCTATTCCGATGAGTGAGTTAACTGAAAGTACGTACAACAACGTACTGTCATGTCAAATAACAGAAAAACATCATTTTGCACTCATCACTCGTATCAAAAACTGGCTGGGCACTCTTTCTGTCGGTTATGAAATCGATCGCATAGAAATGGTATTTAATCCGGCACGATATCGGATGTTTCTTGGGCACCTGCAATTAGTAGAAACACGTTTAAATCAGCTGGCTTTTCAGCCTCTGTTATCAATGGAAGACAGTCAACAGGAACGAAGGAAAGTGCTCGAACAACTAAACAAATTATGTAGTGAGGTAACACATAATCGACAAGTGAAAATGTGTCGTGTTTGGCATGGTTGCTCGCGTCAAACATTACAGTATCTGTTATCCGATGGTTTTGCTACACTTGGTGCACTGGATGAAGGATGGTATGGAAAAGCAATGTACTTTACATCAAGCGCGAAATATGCTACTCGTTATAGTGGCAGACATGGATGTTTACTTTTGTGTTACGTATTGATCTTAAATCCGTTTCCAGTTGTTGCGTCCGATGCGCCACATTATGTGGCGCCAAGCGAATTTCGTTTCTATGGACGAGGTAATTATAAAAATTATCAATGTCATTATATTCCAGTATCACCACTTGGCCATGAATTAATGTTGGATTATAGACCGCCAAGAACCGGAGGATGCGACGATGCTCTGTACGATGAATTAGCTGTATTTCAGGAAGCCGCCATTCTGCCACAGTTTGTTGTCCATCTTAAGTAACGCTGCTGTTAACTGACTTATTAAACGATTTGAAGCCGGTTTAAACCAGCCTACAGTTTGGAAGACTACAGCTTTCTATTTTGTCCAAGTGTATCATAATTACTGGAATCCGAGACATTTTTGGCGGCTGGTGAACTACAGCAAATCGTCTATTATGTCTCATACAACATAACTTTAGACCTTCTATTCCGAGTAAGATTATATTAAGAAATGACCTTCTTTTCTAACGAAGTATACTAGACAAATTTGTGTGAATACGCATACTAAATATCCAATTGATTTTTCTTATCATTTTCTATTTACTCTGCAGCTACAATAAAGTTAATTTTACTCATTCGACATAGATTTCTGGTTTTGTTCGGTTTTCTGGTTATTATATATACTGTTTTATTCTCGATTGTTTATTATTATCAGAAGTAGTGCTTAGCCCTTTACCCCCTCGTGGTAATCAAGCAGATCTGGAATTGAGTTAACCACAGGAATAGCTTATATGGGTGCTCAGTATGACAATGGAATGATTAAATTTGAGCGAAGTTCATTCACTGAGGGGGAACATAACGGGTTTCATAAGATTGTTGATCAGCCATCGACTTCGAATAACAAACAGGAAGTGTATGGCATAGAGGATCATGTACGCATATGTGGTCAGGTTCATAAAACGTATTGTTTGAAGATGCACACGAATCAAGTTCAGAACAGGCCACATGCTTATATCCACAAATACCAGTGTCAGCAGCACCTGCCACATGAAAACATTCGCAGGCTCTATTCGTCGAGCATGGCCCATATCAGAGACCGTCACACGGCACTTTTTTTCGCCCTGCCCTGCTGCCTTGTCTTGTCTTGACCGCCCTGTCCTGC